GTCGTTTGATCGTGTCCAGTGTAGGCAGACTTTAGCTGTTGTAGACACGGTGACCTCGGCGTCCGATCGCAGGCCTCCGCTCCTTGAGTTCTCTCCAGCGCTGGAAAGCTGATCCGATATTTACACGGGTCCTACTTCTTGCCTTATCGTTCCGCAGACGTTTTCCTCTTTTGTTTTTTATCCGCCATCTCTATCTTTCTGTCGCTCGGCTCGGCTAATGTCCGTCCCATGCACTGAACGCGCTCTCCTCCACATCACGAGTAGACACGCCCCTTATTGCTGATTGGCTACAAGTTTGTTTTGCGATTCGGCCAGAATCAGTTTTCTAAAGTGTTTTTGAAAAATCACTTACTCTGCCTTTAAGTAGCAATAGCCAAAAATACACTGTATGGGTCAAAATGATCAATTTTTCTTTTATGCCAAAAATCATTAGGATAATAAGGAAATATCATGTTCCAAGATATTTTGTAAATTTCCTACAGTAATTATATCAAAACTTAATTATTGATTAGTAATATGCATTGCTAAGAACTTCATTTTGACAACTTTAAAGGCTATTTTCTCAATATTTAGATTTTTTTGCACCCTCAGATTCCAGATTTTTAAATAGTTGTATCTCAGCTAAATATTGTCCTATCCTAAAAAAACATACAAACCACAGCTTATTTATTCAGCTTTCAGATGATGTATAAATCTCAATTAAAAAAAAAAAATTACCCTTATAACTGGTTTCGTGGTCCATAGTCACATATTTAATTTCACAAAGAAACATGCAGCATTTTGTCCAAGCTATTGCGATTATTATTTATTACAAAAGGACACCTTTTAATTTATAATTTGTCTTAAATCTCATTTTGTAAAAAATAATTGTGAGAAAATCGTATCGTGAGATCAATATAGTGAATTGTATCACATTGTGAGTTGAGTGAATCGCTACATCCCTATCTTCCGCATGTTCATCTTGTCCCTGTATAATGCATATTAAAGTAGTGTTCATAAGCGCAGCGCTGCTTTGTTTACAGTGGTAACCAAGGAAAGGCTATATTGCTGCTATTCTATGCCGTTTACATAGAAAAACACATGAAAAACAGTGATGGAAACATTTTTTGTCTGTATGGCTGCTTATTCACATGACACAGCTGTAGCCGAATCTTCTCAAAGTTACCTCTCAAAAAGTAGATTTCTGTTTGCAGGTGAATATTTACTTCAAATAATGCTGTTTGTACTCTGTGTTAAGTATCTAGAAACCACCTGTTTGTTTTACTGACTGCCTGACTTCAGATGATTCAGTAAGAGATCGATGTGCCCTCTGGCTTTGGATACGTTACCTTAAGGAAGGCCTCTTTCTGCTCCAGATGCTTGCTGATCATGGGGGTGACGTGGTCGGTTTCACAGTTGGGCCCCAGTTTGTCCGCTCCTCCGCACCAGTCCTCCTCCCGCTTGTACTCCTGCTCTAGACTCTCCAACACACTGCACACCTACAGCATAGACAGGAAGATGAGCCTTTAACTGACTGTTGGCCTTTTAAACTCATTACAGTATGAATTATAAAAGACCTGGATATGATTGGTCAATGAACACTGTTCAATCTACGCTTAAATGCACAGCTATGACGTGACAACAACTTGTGACAAAACATCAGTCACACAAACCCTTCTACAGACCTGTTCGGAGGTCTTATAGAAGGCCACAGATGCATTGACCAGCTTGAGCCTGTCTTCCATCTTCAGCATGAGCTGCTGCCAGTGGGAGGCCACGTTCTCAGCGCAGTCTCGAATCATGTCCATGTCGTAGTGATTAGCCTGCAGCAGGGCCTCTGCTTTCTGCTGGACCTGTAGGGCGCTTTGATGGGTTTTCTATTGAGAGGAAGAGAAAACGTGTCAGATAAGACACACAAAGACAAGGAATAAAACAGCAGGCCTGAATGGACAAAGATTAAAAAAAGATAGAGGGGCGGGAGTCAGATGGCTTAAGACAACAGACGGTGAGATACGACTGATAGTTCATTATTCGTCCACAAAGTGTGGTTTACAGATTCTATCTTGAAAAACTGAGCATCCCTCAGTATTCAGTACAGAAACGGCAAGAACAGGAGTCTGATGGTAGGAGGAAATGAGAAGGCTCCTTTGATAGGCAGTCTTTGAGCCTTCAGGTTCCCAATAGCGATACAGTGACAGCGGATCTGATGTTATCCTGGTTCTTCATTAAAGGAGGGGAAGTGGAGAGCAAACAGACTGTCTAAGCAGGAGCACATAAAACAGAGAAAAGCTCAGGTCTTGGCAGGATCATCTATGAGCTACAGCTGCAGATAAATGGCCAACTAAAGCATCAATCAATATGTTCAGACATTATAAGGTTTCATATTGCTGTGTGCATGTGTTTCTTCAACGACATGTTTAGGTTCAAGTGGTTGATTTTTTATTTAACAGGATTTTAACTTGTATATTAAGGTCATATTAAAACTTACACCATGCCTTCAGTTATTTTTCAAATACCTTTTACTGCATATAAATGTATGGGGTCTCACCAAGGCTGCACTTATTTGATCAATAATACAGTAATTTAAGGTAATTTAATTATGTGATGGCAAAAGTGACTTTTCCAGTCTTCAGTGTCACACGATCATTCAGAAATCATTCTAATATGCTGATTTGATGCTCAAGAAACATTTCTTATTATTACCATTGTTACGCTGCTTAACATAGAAACCGTGATATATATATTTATTTCAGGATTCTTTGATAAATAGAAAGTTCAAAAGAACAGCTTTTATTTGAAATAGAACTCCTTTGTAATATTATAAAGGTCTTTACAGTCACTTGTGATCATTTTAATGTGCACTTGTGAACGGTAGAGTATAGATTTTAATTTACTATTATTACTTAGAACAACAGTGTGAGTGAGCTTGAGAAATATGCAACATGGGATTAAAAAACAAAGAAAAGGGATCACTTTAAATATCACAGAATCTCCTTATCATGTGTCATTTCCAATAAAGCCATGAATTGTCAAATTATTAAAAAATAAATGATTTAATTGTATTTAAGGCACATAAATTCTAGGTATGAAATGATCCTTAGCAAGACTAAGGAGACAGCTCTTTTATTTCAGAAATGTATAAAATATTATTTGCACCAAAGAATGTTGGTACATAAATTGACATGTGGTGGAAATTACATTTGTTGGTTCAGAAAAAAAGGCAAAAAGACTTCACTGTTGGTCATTATTAGTGGGCAAATTAAAAAGTAATTAGAGTGAAAACTGAGTTTATGTTTGCAGCCCACAGGCAAAATTGCCCTTAGTTGAAAAAATATCTATGTGCATATGTGGGGGCACGCTAGTGCTAATACATGTTGACAATAATTATGGTTTGAGCTATTATAGTTACAGTAATGAGTGAGAAAGAAGTAATAATGTGAGAAAAAGGCAAGGAAATGTTGAAAACATTTGAACCAAAATATGAGCAGCACTGACCTCGATAGCATGCTGGAACTGCTCATGCTCTCTCTGCAGCTGCTCAGCTTCTTGAAGTGAACTGGCCGTAATCAGACCTGCATTCAGCATTGACTCGCCATTACGGATCCAACCCAGAACCTGCAACAAGTGAAGAGATTAACAAACACAAATTGTTATATACCGTGAATAAACTATATATTGAGCAGTATGTAGTAAGCTTCCTTTCTGAACATAGCCTGTGCATTACCTGTTTGACTTCTGCCTGTAGGTGGCGCAGTTGCACACACTGCTCCAGGTGTCTGCGGTGCTGCTCTGCGGCCACGTCCAGCTCTTGTTGTTTCTCATGTAGAAACTCCAGGAGATCCTGTACACGGGTGGCCATGTCCACATCACGGTCACACAGCAACTCGACACCTGGAAAACATGAAGAAATGCCACATTCTCAGCTCTCATGTTATTCACTAACAACAATCATGAAACTGCTGGACTGCAAACTCTTGTTTTAGGACTGAAGTGCTACAGATGACGTCGTAACTGTCATTTCCTATGACAGTGAGATCAAGATTACAATCCAACATGTATATCTCCAGTCTACCCCAGAGACCGGTCCAAACACCCACTCAGTCCTTATGTCTGTGCAGAGACCGAATTCAGTGAACAAGCTCAGTCGGAAATATAACCTAATACATATGCATACTGCCCCACAGCTCTGTGGCCACTGACCACTGGATGACCTATAGCATCATTTATGTGAGATGTCTCCTTTATGCCAGTCTGAGCTCAAAGATCTGAGCACTAGCTGAGGACAATGTTTTAAAGTAGGTGTGTACTGGTCTAAACTGTAGGACTTCTATATATATATATATATATATATATATTGTTGTTTGTTTTGTTGCCACCCTTATGACTGGTTTTGTGGTCCAGGGTCACATATTTATTATTTTGGTACATATTAGTTCAGTTTTATCTATCTGTACCTTGATCAATAATTTCTCTATTTGTACCTCAACACGATGCTTTTATTTGGACTTCTCAAAACTTATCTGCTTCATAGACTGAGAGTAGGGTCAAAACGATGAACAAAAACAACACTGTTAATTGAGAATGTAAGTTGTTCACCAAAGCTGGATTTATCAGATGAAAATAAACAGTAAAAAAAAAAAGAAATATTGCAAAATACTATTACAAAATAAAAGAACCGTTTTTAATGTTAAAATATTTGAAAATGTAATTTATTCATGTGATGGTAAAGCTGATTTGTTAGCAGTAATTAGTCCAGTCTTCAGTGTCACATAATCCTTCAGAAATCATTCTAATATGCTGATTTGGTGCTCAAGTAACATGTCTTATTAATATCAATGTTAAAAACAGTTGTGCTGCTTAATATTTCGTGGGAAAACATGATTTTTTTTCAGGATTCTTTGAGTTTAAAAGAACAGCATTTATATGAAATTAAATTTTTTTGTAACATTACAAATGTCACTTTCAATAAATGTTATCCATCCTTGCTGAATAAAAGTATTAATTTCCAATTACCAAAAAAATAACTAATAAATAAAAATACTAACCCCCAAACTCGAAGTGAAAGTAGCTATTATGTATATATACTCAAAAGCCCATATTGGCACATTTGACTCACCAGACGCCTGCACCTCGTTGACGTATTGCAGCAGTTCCTGGCCCTGGTGGATGACGTGGAAGGCGAGGTTGTTCATGGTCAGGGCTTTATCAGCGTGGTGCTGCAGTCTCTGTTCGGCCAGCGTCAGGTCCTCTGTGTCGAAGTCATTCATCTGCTGTGACAGCTCCTCATTCCATGAGTCCAGATCTGAGATAATCTGAAAAATAAGACAGAATATATGAGCGCAGTCTGAGAGTCACAGATGCCATTACTAATGCGAGATCACCCCGGACAAGAAACAAAGTGCCCTGCCCTGACTTGCTCTTATATGTTTAGGGCAATGTGTGTGTAACTTCCTCCATCACTTTATAAACTCTCTCTGAGTGAGTATTTCTGTAAGCGTGCAAACTGGAGAAAGAGAGCAATTACTTTCGGGTGCAGATCATCCTTGAAGACTGCAGCTTATTAATTGGTAGTAAATCATATTAGACATCAGGGAGACGCAAACTGTGTGCTGATGGGAATATTGCCCTAGTTTAAGGAACGGTCCACTCAAAATGAAGATTCTGTCAATATTTACTCTCATTATTTCCAAACCAGTAAGACGACGATTTCTGTGGAACAGAAAAGTACTGGCCGCTATTTCCCATACAATGAAAATGAATTTGAGTGGATTTGAGTATCCTCAAAAGAAAATCATATGGGTTTGGAATGACATGAGGGTGAGTAAATGATGACGGAATCGACATTTCTCAGTGAATTACTTATTTAAAACACACTGTCCCCCCACAGACACTTGATCAAGTATACAGTAGGGTTGTGACGGTGAGGAAATTTTCCCACCGGTTAATCGACGTGTGACAATACCGGTATCACCGCGGGGGCGGGGCGTTCCCTCTTTTCCTCGCTTTCCTTTGCTTTTAAATAGCTTGTAAAAGCGATGTGCCCATTTTACTTTAACTTTCAAATAGCGGCAATTTGGAGTAAAGCAATTGTTCGTTTTTAGTTTGTTTGAATTTTCCCTCTTTTCCTCGCTTTTAAATAGCTTAAAAGCGCCGTGCGCATTTTACTTTCACTTTTGAATTAACGGCAGTTCGGCGTCAATTGCTTGAAATCCAAAATCCAAAATATTGCAGTTTTTAATTGTAGTGTCTGTTCTTTTACTGAACTAAATGATTTTTATTACTATAAAAAATCTAAACGACGGTGGGGGTCGGTGACGTGGTGGGCAAGTGACGTAACCGGTGTTGCGGCTTAACACCGGTATCACCGTCAGCACCGTCTATCGCGGCAAGCCTAGTATACAGTGAACTCACATCAATGGCATCCCTCTCAAAGATCCTGAGCTGAAGGAAAAGCTCCAGTTTGATCTTCCTCTCCTGGAAGAGCTCCTCCATCTGAGCCTGAGCCTCATCCAGCTGCTGCAGAACGGTCTCGATGTGGTTGATGGAGCTGTTGTGAGGGGTCTTATTGCTGGAGATGGCTGAGTCTCTGCAGGAAGACAGTGCAAGAGCCGTTACAACAAATGTAAAGTTGTTTGGTGTGTGCAAGAGATACAGGAAGAAACACATTTACTTCTTACAATAATGTCCTTTGGGAAAGTCAAAGCTGTAATAAATGTTAGGAATTTTCAAGTCCAAGTCTTATGGAATTTGAGCAATTTTTGCTTTTTTCTCTGTTTGTACTTTGTTTAAACGGGTACAATGTTTAGATTTGGATTTCCCAACTCGTATCTCCTTTATGGATTGAGTGGGGTCAAAACAAGGAATCTTAGGAATCAGTAAGGATCAAAAACGACTTCAATATCTCATGAGTCATGAGTATTAATACTGATTCATGAATCTGTTTGACTGATCCATTAAAAGTTTATCTAGATTTTTAAATACTTCTGCAAATGTACAATATTTGAGATGCTATTTTTAAACTCATCTGGTTCAGTATCTCCCGAAATTCATAGCTACCAATTCAGATAATATTTGTATATAAAAACATTCTAGAAGAAAATTTGCTATGTGAACTTTTGTTTCACTATGCAGCTCTGATCGAAAATGACTTACAGTTGTTTGAGGAAGATACACATGAATCTGTTTTGCTGATTCTCTAAAAAGAAGCTTTCAAATGGCAAATAGATTGTAAATTAAACAACTGCAAATGCTTATTTTTTGTCACATCACTATTTTATCATCTAAAGTAATTTGATTCAACATCTTTTTCCCATCAAAATCTGCTTTTGATGTAAATACGCAACAAAATTCATAGCTATTAATTTAGATAATATCAGTTAATCAAAATAGTTTTCTTTTAGACAGACAAGAGAAAATAAAGTGTCCGCAGATGCTATGCAGCACAACACTTCTGCATTGCTGGTGGAAAAGGGGCTAATGGGGTTTTAAAAAGCAAACTTTTGTTTCATTGTGCTCTAATCTCCATGGGATAGAAGTAAATGATCAGCAGAATACTGAACCTAAAACTAACGAAAACCGACAAATATTAGGCCGCAAAAGAGGATGTGACTTCAGGCTTGAAATTTAAATTTAACAAAAAGCCAGCACTAATGAGATTAAAAATTCATTAAAAAATTGAAATTATATGGTCCTAAATGCATTATCTGCAAATGGGAGAGAGGATTACAAGCCCATTGAAAAGATAATATGTAAAATATGCAACATTATCATCTTTTCATTAAAAAGGTTAATTATCAGGAACAGCTTTAGTAATAATTGTACAAGAGGGTGAGGGGCGGAAAATACAAGGAAGCAACAGTTTCAAATTAGTCTGTAAGGGATAGAAAAAAGACGGATGAGTCCTTTCATCCCGTCTCAAAGGATACAAGTGGGTTAAGTCTGATTAAATTTTATTATAAACAAATGGCGTAATAAAGTAAAATCACAGTTATCGGGGTAATAAAGGCCCTTGCTTTAATTGATGCTTCAATGCTGGATCGCTGCGGAAAGTCTGTTCCCATGGTGATGTGCTTTTATCATACTGCAAGGCTTGCGTGACTGAGATCTTTTTCCCATCAAAATCTGCTTTTGATGTAAATACGCAACAAAATTCATAGCTATTAATTTAGATAATATCAGTTAATCAAAATAGTTTTCTTTTAGACAGACAAGAGAAAATAAAGTGTCCGCAGATGCTATGCAGCACAACACTTCTGCATTGCTGGTGGAAAAGGGGCTAATGGGGTTTTAAAAAGCAAACTTTTGTTTCATTGTGCTCTAATCTCCATGGGATAGAAGTAAATGATCAGCAGAATACTGAACCTAAAACTAACGAAAACCGACAAATATTAGGCCGCAAAAGAGGATGTGACTTCAGGCTTGAAATTTAAATTTAACAAAAAGCCAGCACTAATGAGATTAAAAATTCATTAAAAAATTGAAATTATATGGTCCTAAATAGCATTATCTCGAATGGGAGAGAGGATTACAAGCCCATTGAAAAGATAATATGTAAAATATGCAACATTATCATCTTTTCATTAAAAAGGTTAATTATCAGGAACAGCTTTAGTAATAATTGTACAAGAGGGTGAGGGGCGGAAAATACAAGGAAGCAACAGTTTCAAATTAGTCTGTAAGGGATAGAAAAAAGACGGATGAGTCCTTTCATCCCGTCTCAAAGGATACAAGTGGGTTAAGTCTGATTAAATTTTATTATAAACAAATGGCGTAATAAAGTAAAATCACAGTTATCGGGGTAATAAAGGCCCTTGCTTTAATTGATGCTTCAATGCTGGATCGCTGCGGAAAGTCTGTTCCCATGGTGATGTGCTTTTATCATACTGCAAGGCTTGCGTGACTGAGTGGACTTCATACGGAATAACAGAATAATTAACACTTTCATCACCGATTCACAACCGCAACACAAGCAGGGTTTTGAGATTAGATTAGACACAAATACTATGATGACGGTCTTACGTCTGTAATGTGAGTAACTGCGTGTGATGCTGAGATCCAGATATCTCTTGTGTGTGAGTTGGAGAGCTTGTGTGAGTGTGTAATGTCTCTGCGGTGTGGGCATTCTGTGTGTTGGTGTGTGCTGGGGACCTTTCTGTTTGTACCTCTGGGCTCTTGGGGTTTAAGTATTACCTCTGCATAGTTAACTGGGCGGTTATGAAAGCAGGATTATGTAAGACACTAGAGGAAGAGAGAATAGCAGAGCGAGAGAGAAACAGTGCACATGGAGGGATAGCCATCCTCAAAATCACGTGTGTAGAGAGAGCAATTTGCAAGCGGAGGAGGAGGAGAATTAAGCCACGTCTTCATCTGCTTTCCTTTCAAAAAAAAAAAAAAAAAAAAACTTAAACTAAGAGAAATGCAGTGTGACTGTTAAACTGACAGGTCAAACTGCATTAGTTATTATACAAAAACAAGTTGAAACGTTGAATATATAAAATAAATGTTATAATATAATTTAATATATTAAACAAAACACAAACATAATATATCAAATTAATTGCAATTAGCCAGTTATTAACATTTACATGTTTATATTAAAACTTAAACATCATATTTTATATATATTCCTACATTATTTTCTATATAAATTTAAATGTATAATTCATATAAACTATTATTACTACAAATTATATTACATACAATAATAAAAATACATAATACAATTAATAATTAATGAATTAATTAATAAATAATTAATATAAATTATATTTTTAAAATTATAAATTAATAACTGGTGCATGTGGATCAACTAATGAAACTAAATCTAATTAAGTGATATGCTGATAAGTTGAATGAATTTCAATGAATCACACATACAAATATCTAAAACTAAATTGTTAATTTATCAGCATATGACTTAATTATATTTAATTTCTTAACGATTAATTGCACCAGTTATTATATGAAACTAAAATGTACTATTTCATATATAACATAAAACAGAATTATTTAATAAAATGTATATTTTATTTAATATAATATATATGAGAATGTATCTTTTGATGTAAAATTTTTCTTTTATTTTAGACAGTGATATCTTACCTCTTTTGTGTTTTGTGGTTAAACCACTCTTTTCTGGCTCACGCCAATCAAACTCCAATCATACTGCATATTCAAAACATGCAAATATGTTTCCTCAAAACTCTAAACCCATTATTATAAAATTACTATCATTACGTAATGAAAATAAGTCATCTGAGATGCATCAAACCATTCCTCAAGCCCTGAATATCTTGTTATTTTGCAGTATTGTGCAGCTCACTGCAGTAGTGCTGGTAGTCAGGGATTCAGAGTTGTACTGATGAAATGTGGCAGAGCTGAACACGTGAGAGAGGCTGGAAGCAGAGCAGTGAGTTTGCCCTGAGGGGGCTGAGAGACTCCACTCCAAACAGCCTCTGGTGCTCTCTCCTTCCCCTGCTTAACTTTCTGTTGAAGCATCCAGCTTTACTGAATCTCAGCCTTCACGTTCCTCTGCTGCTGCAGCCCTTCCCACATGCAGATTATACATGTGACCGACCGCCAGCACTAGCACTGGGCATCAAGTCTCAGTCAAATGATGCAACTTTACAGCTGTACAGTCACTCACCAAGTTACAGTAAAGTAAATAGAGCACAGTATACCAAATGCAAAGTGGATGATGGCAGATGGGGCCAAATGAGTGCTTGAACCATCCAAAGGTTTGGTCAAGTGAGGATGACTAATGGTCTGCTCAAGTACAAACACAATGCTGAATAAAATTTCGATTCCACTTGAGAATTCCATTAAAGAGGACATCAGATGCAAAATGTAATTTTTTTATGGTGTTTGAACAAATGTGTTGGCAGTGTGTGTACACAACCACCCTATAATGATAAAAATCCACCCAGTGCTTTTTTTTAAATCCTTATCAAGCCGTTCACAGATTCTTGAGTGACGTCACACAGGCCCAGGCTGGTCCCACGACTGTAGACAGACACTGGCGTTTCAACATAGACCTGCCCTGAGTGAGCTGTCAACAGTCCGCCATTGTTTCGATGACGGAGCAGGAGTAGACAAGAATGTCTCCTAAGCGATTGAAGTGTTTTGTTGTTGAATGTAATTTACTTCCAACATCTGAGCGGCTGAAGACGCAGTGGATTACTTTTGTTTTTAAAGGGAATACGCCACCCGATCTACCTAAATGTGTTTATGTTTGTGCGAATCATTCGTGATCCAGCTTCACTTACAGAAGAAGTGAGTATAGTTTTTTTTATGAATCTTTGCAAATCGCCTTTCCTAATAATGTGCTAGTTAACAAGTTCCGCAGCTAAAGTTTACAGTCTCATGAGAACAGCTCGGCACCCCACGGAAGAGAGGGGCAGGGTAAGCAAAGCTCATTAGCATTTAAAGGAACATGCACCGAAACGGGTTGCTGTGAACAGAGCTATTTTAGACAAAGTAAAAGGGGTGTTGTTTTACACTACCACTGAGAAATTTTAACCAAAGTATGTTACAGACTTTTCATTAAGACCCTAAAGAATCATACCAACTTGTGGAAAATGGGCATCCGATGTCCCCTTTAACGATTCTTCTAGTACTTGAAGAGTAATTGGTGCTAAATATATACAATTATATTAAACCTATAAGAAATACTACTTTATGGTAATATTTCATCATTTTTTAAAACTGAAGAAAGCAAAAATATTTCCCAAATGTATCTTTAATATTGACAATTGAAGTCCTTTTGTGCATTAAGAATACATTGATTCATATTAAGACATCATAAAATTGGCAATGTCTCAGAGAAGAATCACTTTGAACAATTCAATAAATGAGTTGTTAGACTGAAACAAACATGTGCTCAGCATATATCTAAGCATCTTGGACTGATTCACTGAAAGGAATTAGTTCATAAGAGTTATTTGTTAGTAAGTAGCACTACACTGGTTCTGTTGTTTGTGAGGAACCGCTGAAGATAAGTCTGTGTATTGTGTAGCGTCTGGACCAATCAGACACACCATTTTTCATTTGATTTAACAAATCAATTATTCATTAGATTAACAAACGTTCACAGACCCCTCACCCAATAAACATACTGGGTGCCAAGTTGTCTGTGAACAAGGCCCAGGACCCTGGTTACCATGGCAACCCTGACACCAGATACATTTACGACCTAATGGAATGCGAAGCAGGGAAAATCACTGCATGTTCCATAGCAAGAGGCATATTTCCCCATGAATGAGCTGATTCGCTACAATTGTCTGTGTATTATTTGGTGGAACCCAGTCTTTCACTCTAGGCTTCAGACTGCAAAACTAAAGCCCCCTAGTTGGCTCCTTGGTGTGTGTAAGATTTCAAAAGATGGCTTTCACACTAATGTAACAAACCACACTTCAATGGAATCAAACTTGAGGTCCACACCAAAACATTAAAGGATTTGTTGCAGGAGGAGGCATGAAAGGGAAGGACACCTGAGTTGTTGAATGAGATCTTCTCCCTCTTTGATGACATTTACAGTGAATTGCAGTGTGGTCTGCTGCTGCTGCCCGAAACGCTTGATCAGGTCCTGAACGGCCTCCACCGACTCGGCATACACATCGTCCAACAATTCCTTCTGCAACTCCTCCAGCCACGTCCACAGCTATGCACAAAAGACACATGCATTAATCACTTTTTACTTTGCTTAGAGAGCTCTATATTATTATTTCAATTGCACATTAATTTAGCATGTTTTGCACATTCATCTCATATTTAATTTAGTTTCTAATTTCTGATCTGATATTGAGCATTAATGTATCTGGTTCTGGTGCATATGTGTAAAACTACACGCTTTCATAACTGGGTTGAATGACCAACTAAAACTATTTTTCACTTGACATTCTCATGGTGCACACAAAAGATAATAAATAAATAATAAATAAGCATGCTAAATATCTACATCATTTTAAGGCACAAAAAAAATCACAGTAGTTACAAAAAAAAAAACTCCACATTATGCATAAAACCGGGAACATTGCTCAGAGCAGGCGATCTGAGGCCTCAGGCGAACTGTTTTGAAGTTTATTGTTGACGGTGGTGAATTTGTTACAAAAGCAGTGCTTTGATGGTTGTTGGGGAGATGCTCTCCAGAGGTGCTTTAAAGACATTAATTTGAAGACAAAGAGTTTATTTTTCCTGAGAGGATTTTAACAAGCTGACAGTTTAACATATGCTGAAACTGTCCTGAGAGGTTGCATTTTTTTGAATCAACCCTTTTTTTGCACGACTACAAAAAAAATTTCAAGTTACTATTTTGTAAATTTAGATGAAACTGCTCAACCATCCCTAGTTCTTACCTCCTTAACATGGGTGTGGAAAGCCACTGACATGTCCAGCAAGACTTTTCGCTGCTCCACACGCCTTACAAAGTCCTGGATCCGGTCCTCCAGCTGATGGGCGGCCTGATAGATCTCCTCCGGGTCACACTCGCCTGTCTGGGCCAACTGCTCCGCAGCTTCAAGCAGCTTATCAGCATTTGTGTAAGTATTCTGATAAAGAAGAGACATGTATGGACTATGATTATGATGCTCATGCCAACTGGTAAGAATATTTTGCTTCAATGCATTTTGGCACTGACTAGTCCAGTAGTTCTGTCACTAGTCAACATGACTGTGTAGAACAAATAAAATCATTTACATAAAGTTAAAAATAACCCATGGACTAGTCTACTAGCAGTGATCAGTTATAACTAATTTCATGTTAAATGGATTACATAAAGCGATAGTTCACCCAAAAATGAAAATTGTCATCATCTACTCACCCTCATGTGGTTCCAAACCTGTATGAGTTTCTTTCTTTCGGGTGAGTAAATGACAAAATTTTCATTTTTGGGTGAACTATCCCTTTGATCAGATTCCAAAAATTATTCATACATTATTTTGACCTAAAATATTTACTTGAATCCCCTTGAGAATTTAAGTTAATATTTTAATTAATGATTTTCACAGTTCTCTGACGTTGGTTAATGGTAGGGCTGTGTGATATGGACAAAAAAAACCTTTCGCGATTTCTTTGATCAATTTTGCGATTTACTCCGTCTGCAGTGCGTATACAGTATGTGTATGCGGTGCAGAAGCAGCACGGACTCATTTTGCTTTCGCACAGGACGCGTTTGCAGTCCGCTACTGATCCACGGCTGTTTACCACAAACACAACATTTATCCATTGTTTTGATTTCAAATCCAAACGTTGATTCTGAAAATGCTTTTTCAGCATTGTGATTCTCTGTTATCACAGTACAGTAATACAATCTTTCATAGACATATTCACGTTTAAACTCAATAAATATAACTTTGTTTAACTACCACCACGAGTGCCATCTATTATTGCCTTGTTTATCTAAAAGTGCACTTTTCCTTGTTTTAAATCTAGCCAAAAAGCCATGTGTTGACTGTGAAACAGTAGACTTTAATTATATGCATTTATGGTGTAATTACTAAATTTCCGTGTCAATCCATGTTAATTTTTACAGCGAATAATAAATGACAAAATTTTCATTTTTGGGTGAACTATCCCTTTGATCAGATTCCAAAAATTATTCATACATTATTTTGACCTAAAATATTTACTTGAATCCCCTTGAGAATTTAAGTTAATATTTTAATCATTGATTTTCACAGTTCTCTGACGTTGGTTAATGGTAGGGCTGTGTGATATGGACAAAAAAAACCTTTCGCGATTTCTTTGATCAATTTTGCGATTTCGATTTTAAACACGATTTTGACACAAAGACATGCTTTACAGTCATTAATGCATTCAGTGTGAATTTGAAACATATTTCCAAAAGAAAACCAATTAGAGCTTTATCAAAAAGCTGTAACATGTCTCTAGAACAGACATGAGGCAAAATAATCACTAAGTAAAGGTGTAACAAAATGTCTCTAGAATAGACATATGGCAGAAAA